AGCAGCAGCAGCAGCTCATAGTGCTCCTCATAGTAGCACACACACAAACACGCTGACCACAACCACCATTGATGCTGTCTCAACGACCGTAAGTGTACCCCCTGTTCCGCCTTCACCCCTAAACTACGAGTCACCATCAACCAGTGATCAAAAGAAGGAAGACGCAAATGTTCTTGACGCCATTTTGGATGAGCTCACCTCAGAGCAGAATTCGCCATCGCAACGCAAACGCGAAACCAAATCAATGTCGCCCAGTATTCATGGTCCTACTCCACCGTACTATCCTCAGGCTTCACTACATCAACAACGAAACGAACCACCCAAACCTCCGGAACGCCAAATCAAAGGTGATATTCGTACACGCTATACACCATCTCAATTGCAACAACTCCAGCGTCATGCTGCGACAATCTACGCGAATAGCACGGCCAATAGCACAAACACCAACGATAGCGCCAGCCACACCAATAGTTTCGGTGACCGCAATCCCGCATCTGGTGCGAACACCAACACTACTACCCTACCACCACAACACAACAATTCAGGATTCAATTCTGCTGGATACTATAATCAGTCGCATGCTTCCGCAACTAACGGAACTGCTATTGGAGCCACAGGTAGGGCAACGCCAACATCTCATTCGGCAGCAACCCTGCCGAATAATAGTACGAACGGCAGCAAACCTGCAGAACGGTCAATGCAAAAGCCACCAACTCCAATTTCAAGCATCGACGCACTTGGGGTTAGTGACCCAAGCACTCATGGCACATCGTCAAATGAATCGATCAATTCGCAAGAAGGTCAGTAGGCCTTGTTAGGGTGATGATCCGACCGCTACTGAGAGATGAAGGTGAACATGGGAGCCAAAAAATTGAGGGAAGTGAAACTTCAGAGCAGCAAAAATTAGGACTTTGAATTCTATAATAGAAAGGTAGAGGTATGAGAGTGAATTTAAGAAGAGCATTTAATATTATCAGCAATATCGTGATAAATTCGGTCATAACATCTTAGTGGTTATCATCTATCGCGCGATACTTACAAATAGTTTACATTGGTTGGGAACAATGATCGGGATTAATTTTTCTGATGAGGGTTAATTAGCATCCAAACTGTCATTGTCATTAAATTATGCAAACATCACAAGGCGATTCGCTATTGATTCCATTACCCGTAAGCAAACTTATGACTGGCTGTGAGGTGATTTTACGATTCTCTTCTGAGATGTTCCTCTACAGAACCGATGTGATCAGATTCGTCCTAATTCGATCAAATCGCTAAAAAATTCAAATTTCAGGAACCCGTTTAATGAGTGCCGACGCCATCGAGGAACGTCAACACGAGCTGGCCGCTAGACAGCAACAACTCTACAGTCAATTCGAACAGCTCAGACAGATGTGCCCCTCATCTCCAACAAATGTATAACAACTGCTAAACGCAATCTAATTTCTCCTTGAGACTACCAAGTCAAGAAATTTTCATGATTGTCAGTTAATTATAATCGAATGATATGCGCCAAAATGAGTCGTCTGCCTTATTCTTAATATTTATATTCTCATATTGTTGCATTCATGTGAACTTATTTGTTAAATAAACGATGATCTGTGACCTGTTGTGTGCACTTTTCAATATTTTTATTGTTCTCGTGCACCTGTCAAATGAGAATAAGCATTCAGTTTGATGATTCTTCATATTTCCATGCACTGACGATTGCCAGCAGTCACCGGAAATGTGAATCATCGAATTATTGTTCTNATTGACGAGAATTATAAACCACTTCAGAGGCCGTTTTAAGCTTTTGAAGTGTTTACGTTGTCGCGTTATTATTGTTATTATTATTATTATTACTGTTGTTATTCGTTTTTTTTTGTTTGTTTGCTGCTGTTCCTTGACATTTGCGTGCTTTTTAACCAAATTATTTCAGAAATTTGGTAAGTTGAAATCATTGAATTCGGCATTATTTATTTTGCTTACTTTCTATTACATTATTACCATACAATGTTGATCACAACACATTACTGTTCAAGTTAATTGTGTACTTTAAAACGCGATAAAACAATTTCTACGTTATTCACAAAACGTTGTTAACATTATTATTACTGCTTAGAGAACACGTACGTATATCAATAAAGATTTATATAATACTCTTTTGAATACCATACTGAATCATCATCACATTCAATGAGAGGTTCTTATGTCCAAGTAATACAATAAATGGATATCCTTTTCAAATACGTATGAGGAGGTTCACTTTCGAAAACGCCTGGAATATGCAGTCA